CCTCATGATCATCAAACTTTAAAATAAATCACTTTAAAGGAGCAATATGTAGCTCTGACACCTGGTGGTTAAAATGGGTACTGCAGTCTAAATTCTAAACATCATAGAGAGCTGTCTCTCCCCCCCCCCTCCCGCCCTCCTCTCTAGAGTGGATGCTCACTCAGGTCACCATGTGTGGACTCTGAAGCTTCAGTGTTTATCCAGCTCTGCATGGGTCTGTAAACCAGATTAAAAACATTAAAGAGAGGTGTATGTGTGTGTGTGTGTGTGTGTGTGTGTGTGTGCGCGTCCTTGGATGGTCCTCTTCAGGCTGCTGAGTGTGACTCACATCTGAGAGCATCCACAGTGACTCAGGACTTAATTCAATCATTGTTCTGCTTTGTTCTAACCTCGACGTTGTGTCGGTAGTTTTTTGTTTCTGCATGATAATGTCGTCGACTTTGTTTCTTCTGTTTGAAAGAGAGACGTCATGAGGTCACAGATTTGAGCAGCAGGTCCATCTTAACAACTACGATTTAATCCTCAAACAGGTTGATATTTGTTACCGTCCATAAACAAATCACCGTCACAGACGATTGTCCCGTCGTGTTGCACGTAGTTTTAAAGTTTCAGAAACAAAAAAAGTCTTGGTCTGAATTTTGTGTCATCCCAGACTCATGTAGTCTCCACTCTGAGGGTTTTTGGTGGTTTCACTTTAAGGACCCGGGCCAGATCTGAGTACACTAACTTGATCCTGAAGTTCGGTTCATTTGATCTGTGTGAACACAAACATACCACTTGAGGAGGAGGAGGAGGAGGTGGAGGAGGAGGAGGAGGAGTTGGTCTTCATGTGCTCTAAAAGTCTTTTGGTTTCATGTGTTTGTTTTGTGTCCTGACTCTCCTTGTAGCGGTAACTTTGTAATTTCCTGCAAAGGATTAATAAAATATCTAAACCAGTTCAATCAGGAGTCAGACGAGACCAACATGAATGATTCAGGTTTAATTACCTCCTCACACACCAGCGTATCCCTCCACAGTCGGAGCAGGATCTATAAATACTCTGACTCCAGTGTAAAGTTTTAAAGCTTGCTGCTGTTCAGAGAGAATAGATCTGCAGGTCGATCGATAAAAGCAGGTCGTTCTCTCGCTCGCTCCGCTCTCCACAAACCGCACGACCCGATGAGTGTTACTGTACGGTAAAAATAGCCCGACGGTGACTCACTCCCGACAGACAGAAATTATTACAAACCTGCTGAATAATTAATGCAGTCTGACTCAGAGTCTTTGTTCTAACTCGGCCAGTCAAAGTCAAACGCCATCTGAATGTTTGATTTGAGCATTTTTCTAATGTGGGGAAAATGTAGTTCTGTCTGTACGACGCGTCGCGCTATGAGTACTGTATTAATGTGTTTGTGTGACTGCGGGACATCACAGACAGAAGGAGGGACGTCTCCACTCTGTTTACATTGTACACTCTGATTATGCTCAAAGAAGTTTATAAAAACATCATGAAAAAGTTTGATGAAATAATATAAAATGCTGAAACCAGTTAAATAAAAATATGGATATTAAAGGAGCAGTATGTAACTCTGACCCCAGTGGTTAAAATGGGTACTGCAGTCTAAATTCTAAACATCATAGAGAGCTGTCTCTCCCCCCCTCCTCTCTAGAGTGGATGCTCACTCAGGTCACCATGTGGTGGACTCTGAAGCTTCAGTGTTTATCCAGCTCTGCATGGGTCTGTAAACCTTTCTGTGTTCAAACCTCTCTCCATTTTTCAAAAGCATCTCCAATATTGATCCTAGTTTGAGCACGTTTCTGCTCGTGGAGCTTATTAGAAACATGCAGAGGCTTTTTAGGTCGGGTACAATCACTTCTATCTGAACCACTTCTCTTGACCGCTTCCATCGCTGCAACACCTGTTGACCTGATAACTGCTCTCATATCTGACAAACCGAGGGGCGTCCAAAACGGCCGTGTGGGGGGTCTTAAAGCTACCTACCTTCTCTGGTCCAAACAAATCCAGTCTGAGCAGACAGGAAGCCACAGTAGCTTTCAAACAACCACATCATGTCGACGAGCTGAAAACAGGAAGTGTCTTGTGTGACTGAAGGATTAGTCTGCGCTCTGGGGATCCTGTAGGAACACTCTGATCCGTGTGACGTCTTCAAGCTAAATCCTCTGGGCCGACCTGCTGCCTGTCATCAGTTCCACCGCTTCATTTCAAACAGGAGACAGAAGAGTTCCTTCATTCGCTCGGCCTGAACACATGACGGCGATGACACAGAGATGGTCACGTGGTGATCAGTGAGTGAAGTGATTTTTATCTACAATGAATGAAAACGTCCCAGAGTTCCCAAAGGTTGTGTTGAGTCTCAAATGGAAAAAACATAAACATTTAACTGTTGATACAGTTTGAAGATTTCTGAGTTCAAGTTTGATTTGTTTATGAGAAATAAAATAAAAAAAACAGTAAAAAATAAAAGATTAAAGGTTTATTTTGGGGCTTTTTTATGCCTTTATTTAGAGAGGATAGAGTCAGTGAGAGAGATACATGGAGCAACAGGTCGGATTTGAACCCAGGCTGCCCACTTTGAGGACTTTAGATTCACCCACTAGGCTTCCAGCGCCCCCAGAGATTATTTTAAGGCTTTTAATGAAGTAATTTATGAGGGAAAAAGGCAAAGGACAAGTACATCCATCCTTTCCTCCCCTCGTCTTTCCATCCATCCTTTGCTCCGTCCTCTTATCGAGGTCACTGGAGCGTTGACAGAGCCTCGAGCGAGCCCCCGCAGAGTGTTATCTAACTGTCATGAAATATAAAAGAGCCCGAGCACGGCCTCTGATGCTTCTCCTCGGCGCCGGCTGAGATACATATTTGGGTGATTCAGCTCACTTTCTTCAGACGATGAGTGATAGCAAGCCGGGTTTCAGACCGCTGGTTGATGTATTTTTAAAACGGGATGTGAGGCTTAAAAATAGAACGAGACTTTTCAGATCGTCTTCGAGGGGCTGCTGCTGCTTCGCTCTGGAACAGGAACACTCGGGGATGTGCAGCCAAACAAACATCGTTAACAGTAACGCCTTTTCTATGACACCAAATTAGAAAAACAGACGAGGATTATGTAAAATCTAAAAGTTTTCTGTACAGAAACATTTCCCAATTACCCGATATTTATTCCACAATGTACCAAACAAAAAGTCCAAACTCCTCTGGGTTTAATGACAGTCTCATGTGTGAGACGACCTCGACTGAAGTGTTTCCTCTGGCTCGGACGGCGTTTCCAGTTACCGTTCAGATGTGATGTTCAGTGACGGCTGCTGGTTTTTCTGGAAGAGCTTCTCCTGCTCTTGTCTGCCAGCAGGTTGTGTTCTCTGACTCACCTCAGTCTAAAGAGAACATCCTTTGTTGCCAAATGTGACTGGACGGCGCCCAGAGGTCGTTTTCTCTCTACAACACGAGGCAGCGGTTGTTTGGCTGGCGGCCTGAGCTCAGAGCTGACGAGATGTTCACACCACTGATTTAATATGTGTTTGGGATGATGTCATCAAAATGGCTCATCCTCTCCGGAGAGCAGGAATGTCATTAAATAGATTTATCCTGAAATCTGGAATATAAATCTTATCTGTACTCAAACGCTTTCTGTTTCCCAGAGTGTGAAAAGGTTTAAGGTGTCGTCCTGTGAGATGATTTCCGTCGTGTTCATCACAAAGCCCGACCGATAATATCAGCCGATGTTAGCTTAGCCGTAGCATTTCATGTGAGCCTCATTGTAGCAGTTCTCTGTCACCAGCAGAGGGCGCTATACGGATTAAAAACAAACATCATCATCGTGGTGTTAAATTAATTATATTAACCCTCAGACATCAGTTTAATTTACGACCCTCTGAAGTCACTAAGAAAAAAAAAAAAGTCCACTTCCAAAAAACTGCTATAAAAATAGAACAGATTGATATTTATTTCTACTTTTTTCTGCATAAATCTCTTAAACAACTTCAGCCCTGCTCTAAACTACCAAACATTCAATCATCTTTAGGAATTTAACCCTTTAAATGCCAGTTTGATTACTTGATGTCCCTGTTGTTATTTAAGAAAAACAAACACAAAAATGAGTTATTTTCCATATAACAGATATTTGGTGGCCGGGGGATTTTTTTACATCAGTCTTGGATATGTCAAAGATTATCCAAAATATTGACTTTGATGCATTGTTAGTTTTTGTGTAGCATCAGATTTAAAATGTAGTTCCCTGTTTTTATATCAGTTTTTTGGAAGTGGACATTTTTGTCCTTAGTGACTTCAGAAGGTCGTAAACATGTTTCTCAGTGTTCCAGTGATCTATTCAAAAAAAATGAAATTTGCATTCCAAAATGTGTCAAGAGAGTCCTTCTTACAAAAATGTGTTCCATTTGCACTAACAGACAAAATGATGGACAGATGAAGAGGAGACATTTTACCAAATGTCTTGCATTGACCATAATGATGCAAGAGGGTTAAAGAGTGAACGTGCATCAGAACAAACTTCATCCAGACTCTTTAGGATGAACTGCTCAGGGTCAGGGTTCATGACTTTAACTTATCAGAGCTGCTCAGAGGGACGAGACGTCATCCCAGAAACTATCACGGTTATATTTTGACTTTGGATGGATGGGAGTAAGGTTGTGTATACTTTAATGAAGGGTGTCATCTCTGTGGTGGAAACACAAACACGGCGTCTTGCCATTTGTTTTCATCTCGCTGCAGAAATTGTCTTAAGTTAATTTAATGTGGGACTGTGTGGAGTAACCTTGTTTGTATCGATCTGCGGCTTTGATTGAATTGTGGAAACACCTGAGCTGCAGGAGAAGGTCATCTTGTTCAAACATTTAGACTCTGTGTGAGCACCCTTTAAACCCAGATGCTTCTGTTCAAGACGGAGAGATAGAGTTTGACTGCCGATATGAAAACGAAAAGTAGCCTCTACCGTCACACACTTTTAGATTGAGTACATCAATCTTCCTCTTTGTGTGTTTTTTTTCAGGTTGTTTTAAAGATGACCGCATCGTGTTCTGGACCTGGATGTTCTCCACGTACTTCATGGAGAAGTGGACTCCTCGACAGGACGACATGCTGTTCTACGTCCGCAGGAAGCTCGCCTACGTCAGCGCGGACAACACCGAGGGAAAAAAGGTGAGACTTAAAAATAACAGTGTCATCTAATTACTAATCCACTCAGACGACCTTTGAACTACAGGGCCCCTGACACAGTGATGATGGCATTATGAAGGCGCCCGGCGGAGCTCAACTGGTGGCAGAAAGTTCAGCGAGCGGTGTTGATTTATCTGATGATACACATTCCTATTCTGACCTCCAACGGCACAATACGACCTTTAACCTTTAACCGAGGATCTTTACTCTGCTTTTCTGTGTTCCTGCCACCATAACGCGACCACGTCTGCTGAGACTCGATCATGACGTCGACTTTGAATTGTTAAAATGACTAAAGTCTTTTTTACAGACGGAGTACATTCTCTGACTTTTCTTACCTCCGCAATGTGAAAAATGTGAAATCCTCGACGCACAGTAAAATATAATAACAGGAACAAATACAGTTCAGTCTCTGCTCCTTTTTTATAATTAGATTTTCTGAACGCTCGTCTCTCCGTCTGCCTTTTGGCCCCGCATCACTCTCCATCGCATGGTCGCCATGGTAACACATCATTGTTCTGCATCCAGGTGGGGTTAAAAAGCTCCCATCATCACCATCTCTGTCCGTCTCATTGTACTGAAAACAAACAAGCACACACACACAGCCTGCATTACAGAGATTAAAGTGTGTTTGTGTATTCAGGGAGGTCATTTCGCCGTGCGAGGATGCAGACTGTCACAGACGGTCGAACTGAAAACAGAGATAATAATCTTTAAAGATCTGATGTAATATGTTTATAAAAAATTTCTGATTTTAAAGATTATTATTTTTTCACCTCTTAGATTAAATGTTCAGTCTTTGTCGTTCTTATTCTTTAAATTTGAATCCTCCCGGTTTGTGAAGGTCCACGTCCTGCGGTCTGCAGGGAGACGCATGGTCTCCACACGCCAGCGTTCATATCACTCACAAACCAATTAGAGCACAGGAATGGTTGCCATGGTTACACTGCAGCCCGTGTGGAGGGCGATTGGGAAATTCCCCTTCATGGAGGAAACTGACACATGCAGAAACGACACCGCGGACATAGAAGTCATACTTTTCTATTCCTCTTATCAGTGTCGGTGAAAAAAAAAAATCACAGATTTAGTTTTCTGCTGCAGGAGGAAACGTGCACTGCAGTTTGAACGAAGTCAGATTTTCCTGCTTCATTCAAGACGAAATGTTGCACAAAACTAACGTCTGATTTTCACAACCAAGCAAAGAAGAAATGGAAGTCAGTCCCCACATGATGTTCTTCCCTAAGAGCGGTTTGCACTTCTGCAAAAGCTGACATAGTGTCAACCGTTTAAAGGTCACATATCACACAAAATACACATCACCATGTGTCTCTAGTCTTTCTACAAACCCCATGCATGTTCCTCCTGATGATGTCAGTAAAGAAAATCCATAAAGATCGATTCTGTCGTGCTGCAGCTCTCTTTGTCCTCTGAAGACTTCCTGTCAAATCGGTTTAAATGTCAGAGTCCCGCTCGCTGCACACCTGAACTGAGACCGACCTGCAGCAGATACTGACCCAATGTGTTGGCGTTTTTTTTTTTTTTTTTTTTTTTCAGGTGGAGGTTGAGGTTTACAGGAGAGACTCCAAGAAGCTGCCCGGCCTCGGAGACCCGGACATCGACTGGGAGGAGAGCGTCTACCTGAACCTCATCCTGCAGAAGGTGAGCAACACTCACTCTTGTATGATGATGGTTTTGATGCTGATTAGAGCTCTCAAAGACAGCTGTCGATGTTTTGCTCTGCCTCTTCAAGTCGAAAAAAAAACAGACAGAAAGCAAAAACACTTACTAAATACAAGTCAGAAACATTTGAGATTCTTTTCCTGTACTCATGCCTCCAAATAATCTAAAAACATTTCTATTTTCCAGTTGGACTACGTGGTGACATGTGCAGTCTGCACGCGCTCAGACGCAGGAGACATCCACATCCACAAGAAGAAATGTCAGGTAGGAAACCTCACAGCTCTGCAGCAGCTCACACACTTCATCATGACACTAAAAACTGCTCGCCGCATTAATCACCTCAGAGTGTTAATCAAGTCGTTGATCGCTGTTCAATCAGGAAGTGTTTGCGTCTCCCAGCAAACACGCCATGGACAGCAAAGGAGAGGAGTCCAAGATGAGCTACCCGAACATCTTCTTCATGATCGACAACTTCGAGGAGGTAGCCGCTTCTTTACCACTTTAACCCTTTATGAACCGGTCTGCAGCTTGAGAAATATGTTAAATGTAACATCATCTTCTTCTTCCATAAACAAACATTCATTTTAGAGTATGTCTCAACACCGCGTGGCCAAATATTTTTTTAATTTTGTTACTTTGCAGAACGGAAAAGTAATATATGACACATATTAATTTGGCTGTATGATTATATTTTAAGATACACAGCAGTTTATTACAGAGCTTAAATTTGCTTCACTTCCACCTGAAGGTGTGAGGATCAATAAGGAAGTGCCACCTACTTATGAGTGAACACTTGTATTTTTATTTAAAGCTCTGGTACTTTCTAGATATATTGAACATTAAAATAACAGATTTTATTGTTTTGAAACACGTAACATTAAAAAGTATTGAAGTATCAAATATTTTGACAACCTTTACCACCTACATATTTTTTTGATATTGGTGTGCCTCAGAGCTCCATACTCGGTCCTCAGTACTTTGTATTATAAAGTCTGATTTCCATGGCTTCTCTGTGTAGTTATTTTACTTTTACAGAGCATTTTTACACACTGATGAAGCTACTTTCACTTGAGTATATGATCTGAAAACTTCTTTCACTATTGATGTTTTCCTGACATTTGAAGCCCAGTGTATCCTGAAGACGACAATATATGACACCCCGAGCTAAATATCTTAAGTGAACAAAAACAGAGACAGTTTGAAACAGTTCAGAGGTATAAAAAACATGAATTCAGTTATTGAAAACAAATGGACCGAGCAAGTAGTAAAAAGTAAATGTGTGGGGGAAAAAAAGGCAGTTTTCCCCTCAGTAATGAAGCCGTTACTCTGTGCAGGCTGACTCCACGCAGGCTGACAGTGTTTTGCTCCTGGTTGTGAGTCGATGCGGTTGGTGTAATGAAGTGTGACTTGGTGCCTTTTCACTCCATTTAAAAACAAGCTCCTGCTTTAACACGTCGTTTTATAGGTTCCTGCAGGGAAAAAACACCAGATAGCAGAGATTTCACTCCTGGGAGGAAATCAATGAGCGTTTTTTTGTTTTTTTTGGTACTCTGAAGCGAGAAATAAAACAGCTCACTGTGTTCTCGGCCAAACAAGTCAATGTCAGCTGAAGCAGCCGTGTGCGTGTGCGTGTGTGTGTCACTGCTATGCATCGAGAAGTTGATGGTTGAGATGTAATGTGATTATTATGTGTACAGGTGTTCAGTGACATGACGGTGGGCGAGGGCGAGATGGTGTGCGTGGAGCTGGTGGCGAGCGACAAAAGCAACACCTTCCAGGGCGTCATCTTCCAGGGTTCGATCCGCTACGAGGCCCTCAAGAAGGTCTACGACAACCGGGTGAGAAGCTGAAAAACGCCCTGCTCAGGGACGGTTATGCTCGAGCTAAATGCTAATGCTAATTGGAGGACAGGATAAACTAACTACACTTTTCGATTCCACGTTTTGAAACAATCTGTTATTTTAATGATAGTAGAAAGAGACAAAGCTTTTAAAGTTTAATTTCTGTTGTCATGACAACCCGAATGATAGCCTGTGAAAAGATAAGATGACATGACACATGATGACGCTGTGAGCGCAATTTTTAAAACACATCCAGCCAAAATCCGTCATTCCAGGGAGCTTCACATGATTCCACCTCAGGCAGGGCCGCAGTGTTTTGTTTATCTAACCTTCACCAGCAAGCGTTTGTTTCATCTCAGTTTTTCTCTCGTGTGTGTGTGCGTGCTGAAGGTCAGTGTTGCAGCCAAGATGGCCCAGCGGATGTCTTTCGGCTTCTACAAATACAACAACATGGAGTTTGTGAGGATGAAGGGTCCGCAGGGAAAAGGCCACGCGGAGATGGCCGTCAGCAGGGTGCCGACGGGCGACACCTCCCCCTGCGGCACCGAGGAGGACGCGGTGTCCCCCGTGCACGAGAGGGTGAGGACATGATGTCATCATTTTACATCCTGCAAGCCTTTTCTTTAAAAACGATAAAGTCTCATTTAGTGTTTAAAAGCTCCTTCCAGTTCACTTCCTTCTGTTTTTAATCTGTGGAGAAACAATAACAAACTAAAACGGGTTCAGCGCTGAGCCGCTTAGAGTCGACGGCGAGCGGCACGGCGCTTCATCCAAAGAAATGGAATCAGGTCAGGATTAATAATAAATGGATCATGAATCTTTGATGGGTCAGACCTCCACATGTTCGCTCACAGACGTCTGATGGATTCTCTCAGGTCGACATGAAATGACACTTTGATTTATTTTTTTCCACCGCAGCAAATAAAAACAAAAACATCAACATTCACAGAAATCAGCTGACGGAGACAAAAAGTCGGAAGTCTGTGGACGCAGAAAAAACTGGATTCTTAGTAGAATAATAGAATAGAATGACTTTATTGATCGCAAACTGGTAAATTGTGGTGTTACTGCAGCAGGTTATCAGAGCAAATAAAACATAAGAATAGATACATAAATAAGCACTTAAAATATATAAAAGAAGAAGAGGAAGAGATTTATACATCAAGGATTTAACTTAACATTCCTACTGGTTTAAAAAAATGAAATACAACATTTATTCAGGTTTGTCAACTGAATGTAAAAATACTTGCTGGAGTTAAGAGAAAAAGAAGGAAAAGATTAAATCATCATTCAGTAAAAATCACAACATGAAGATGAGTTCAGATTAAAGCAGAACGTGTTTTCAAACTGTGGTTACCATGGTTACACTATTTAAATTTGACAGGTTAGTTCTTCTGAAACTTTAAATCAACCTCGATGACATCACATCACCTCCTCCTGCTGCTGCGGGGTTCAGCTCGCTCAGCGGGTCCGTTAATCCGATGTTTGTTCCGAGCTTCGTCTGTAATCTCTGAATTAATAACACCTGCAGGATTTAACCAATCAGAGTCCAGCGTGACAAACACACTCGGACCTCCAGGTCAAAGATTTTCTGCACATGATGACCGAAACAGACGCCAAGACGCTGAAAGGGTTAATCTGTGCTGGTCGTTTGTGTTCCTGCAGGAGTCGTCCTGCAGACGCCCCGCCTCCGCTCGCTTTAAGCTTTCTTGCATGATTCACGATTTCATGGCGCTCGCTGTTCACTGGACGGCGAGGAGAGTGAGTAACGAAGGCCGAGTCCACACGCAGGCGGGTATTTCTTTAAAATGTAGGGCCGCCATCTTCATCCACACGCACCGTTACAGCTGTCATGAGAACCGGGTCTCTCCAAAAACTGCTGACATCAGCGTTTGCGTGGTTGGTGTGTTGTATGAAGCAGCTGTGATCTCTGTCGTCCAATCAGGCGTCTCCGCTCGTCCACACAGCGGGAGAGTAACTGTGTGTGAGCATGTAAAAAGTCCAGTTAGCATCGTTAGCACCAGCGCTAGTTTGGTTACATCGCTCTAACCTCATTCAAAGTGACGGCGCCGCACGATGACGTCACACGGGGGAGAAACCGCAGCATAGCGTGAAAGGTCAAACCGCTCAGAAGACGTTTTTAAAAATAGCCGCCTACGTGTGGACGAGGCCTCAGAGAGTAGAGGAGTAGACGTAGAGAGAAAGGTTAAAGATCTCCGGACTTGTCGATCCCACGGCTTCAGAGGAAGAGGGCGCCAAAAGTTGCAGGAAAACGCCGCCACGCCGTCTGAACAGGAAGGTGTTAGAAATGTTTTAGTCGCAGGATGTTAACGTCGTGTTTGTGCAGTTCAGACGATGTGGAGACGTTTTCATCTTTAAAAATAATAAATCTCTAAACGCTGACCTCTGACCTCTGACCTCTGGATCGTCTCCGTGGTATCGACGCCGGGGGTCGATGTCGTTGTGACCTACGCAGCAGACGACCGTCTCGTCTCTTCTTTGAGGGATTTCATGACTTTCTCGTCTTCAGGTGACGTCGTTCAGCACGCCTCCCACGCCAGAGAGGAACCGCCCGTCTTTCTTCTCGCCGTCTCTCCGGCGCAAAGTTCCTCGAAACCGAAACGCAGAGATGAAGAAGTCTCACTCTGCCAACGACAGCGAGGAGTTCTTCAGGGAGGAGGACGACGAAGGTACACAAACACACACACACACACACACCTGCACCAGTTATAAACTCACACAGGCTCACCCAGGTGCATGCTGGTCCTTACCGTTATGACCTCACAGTTTCACCCAAACACCAAACAAACAAAAACACATTTAAAGAAACAGCAAGCTGATGATGGTGATGATGGTGATGATGATGGTGATGATGGTGATGATGATGGTGATGATGGTGATGATGATGGTGATGATGATGGTGATGGTGATGGTGATGATGGTGGTGATAGTGGTGATGGTGATGGTGATGATGATGGTGGTGATAGTGGTGATGGTGATGATGGTGATGGTGATGATGGTGGTGGTGATGATGGTGGTGATAGTGATGATGATGATGGTGATGGTGGTGATGGTGATGATGATGGTGGTGATGATGGTGGTGATAGTGGTGATGGTGATGATGATGGTGGTGATGTTGATGATGGTGATGATGGTGGTGATAGTGATAGTGATGATGATGATGGTGATGATGTGATGATGATGGTGATAGTGATGATGATGGTGGTGATGGTGGTGATGATGGTGATGATGATGGTGATGATGGTGGTGATGATGGTGATGGTGATGATGGTGATGATGATGGTGGTGATGGTGATGATGATGGTGGTGATGGTGGTGGTGGTGGTATGTGGTGATGGTGATGGTGGTGTGATGGTGGTGATGATGGTGATGGTGATGATGGTGGTGGTGATGGTGATGATGATGGTGGTGATGATGATGATGATGGTGGTGATAGTGGTGATGGTGATGGTGATGATGATGGTGGTGATAGTGGTGATGATGGTGATGATGGTGATGATGGTGGTGATGATGATGGTGGTGATGATGATGGTGGTGGTGATGGTGATGGTGGTGATAGTGGTGATGGTGATGATGATGGTGATGGTGGTGATAGTGGTGATGATGGTGATGATGATGGTGGTGATAGTGGTGATGGTGATGATGATGGTGGTGATGATGGTGATGATGGTGGTGATGATGATGGTGGTGATGATGGTGGTGATGATGATGGTGGTGATAGTGATGATGGTGATGATGTGATGATGATGATGATGGTGGTGATGATGGTGGTGATAGTGGTGATGGTGATGATGATGGTGATGATG